TTGGTAGGTGTTGGCGGTGGCAGTATCAGTTCCCTTCTTAGGGTGTTTCCCCTATTTGAGTTGCTTTTCGCACGGGGGGTTGAGAAGGCTGTGGGGTAAGAGGGGGCTAGGGAGGAGACTGAGGGGGGACTGTTGGTTTTTGTTAGTAGGTCAGAAGGAAGGGGCTGGGACGACGCAGGCCGGTGCTGGAGTGGTTTTGCTCTGTGACCCAGAGAGGAGCATGAGGCCTGGGGAGTTCTGTCGAGGGAGGAAGACAGAACCAGCACTTTCGACGTGGCCGTAGCTGGGGTGTATCCCTGTCACCTTATTGGGGCATGCGGCTATGGGGAGTCGCCGAGGGTGGAAGGCACTCCTCACCATCGTCGCTAGGTTGGTCGGTACTGGGGCTTGGTGGGGTCCTGTAACTCTAGCATGGGAGGGTATGAGACCAGCTGTGTGTCGCTTGAGGACTGAACACGAGACCTGTAGTTTTCTCCAACAGTTGCGGGGAGAGTGGGTGGTTGGTTGTCTGTGCAGTCCGTACTTAGCCCCTACATGTGACCTGGGTAGTACTTAGCCCTTACATGTAACCGGGGTGTAAGAGTTCAGAGAGGGTCACAACGGGACTGACATACGGATAGCTAATTTATTCTGTGCCCCTATTTTGCCGATGCCAGAACGACGCTGGCCGGAGCTGGGGCGTCGCCCTGTGACCTGCAATTTGCAGGAGCATGAGGCCTTGTAGAGAGATCTGGGGTTTGCCGAGGGTGGAAGGCAAGCCAGTGGCAAAACCGGGGGGGCTGCGTAGTGGCGAGAAGAGATTCAGCTATGGGGGATGTTGGTATGGTTGGTACTGTCCCTGAGTGAGTATGTCCCGGGGAAAGGAGGGCTAGGAATTACCTTAGGAGTTAAGTTCCAAAATTTTTCTTAGGATTTCTCAAAATTTTGCAAAATGTTGCAATCTGTTCCTAAAACGAGGGGGTAGTCTGTTTTGCCCTAGAAATGTCTACTGGATTCTGGGGACTCCTGGCAACCTTGTTTAGGTGGTACTGAGACTGTTATACTCGGTGACCTGCGGCTGTTCGATGCCAGAACGACGCTGGCCGGTGCTGGGGCGTTGCCCTGTAACCTGCTGATGCAGGAGCATGAGGCCTGGTAGAGAGATCTGGGGGTGCTTAGGGGGGCCACTCCACGGGACAACCAAGGGCTGCTGCTGGGACGACGCTGGCCGGAGCTGGGGTGAGTTGTGCTGCCCTGTAACCCAGCAGGATGAGGGAGTGTGAGGCCTGGAAGAGCTCGGCAGGGAGTAAGACAGTGTTGGAGAACCTTGGAAGGTTGTGTTAGGGATTTTGCGGGTTCAGGGGCATTTGTAGGACTTCGGCAGGCTATTCCCATACCTTCCGAATAACGGTAAGTTTTCTCAGATGGCTTTACAGCCAAGTCGGGCAACAGGTAAGAGAGGGATCGAGGATAGTGAGAGAAGGACACCACGCATCCTACTAGTGAAGGGGCCAGCTGGTAGGATAGAAATAGGGCATAGCAGCAGTAGAGATGGTGGCTTTGCTGCAGTAAGTCTTGCCGGAGTGAGGTAAGAGGACTGATAGTGGATCCTCGAGGGTTTTTCGAACTTTGTCTGACTTTGAAGTTTCCCGCAAAACGGTCTGGAATAGTTCTATAATTCTTAGTAGGCTCCTAGTCTTATTTTCATGGAATTTTCTGAACTTTCTGAAGACTTTTCTAAATGTGTAACAGT